TTAAATTGATTTTATTTGCACCGAGCATGATTGGTTTGAAATGAAATTGTTTTCATTTGTATTGAGTAGAGCATGCCTATTTGGAATTGACTGAATTGCTTTGATGAACTAAGAATTTTTTAAATGCTGAGTTTTTCTATTAAATCCATGCTCACATGGAAATTTTTTGGTTTGTTTCTGAAATTTGAGATTGATTGTGAATTATGGATTTTTCTGTAAATATTGCATGATTTTGTCTCTGATATAGTCATGATTACTGACGCTCGCTAGTAGGAGTTCGCAAACGCTAGCACATGTCGACATGCATTTCTGTAGAACCGGTTCATCCTGCCAATGGGGTTAAACATTGGTTATTACTGATGCATACCAGCGGGAGTTGTTAAACACTGGTACTTTTGTAACCCTGCCAATGGGGTTAAACATTGGTTATTACTGACGCCTGCCAGTGGGAGTTTGTTAAACACTGGTACTATTACTGACGCCTGCCAGTGGGAGTTTGTTAAACACTGGCCATGACTTATAGATGAGACTACTGATGAGTTTTATTATGCGTGAATAGTTTATCGTTGAAAGTTCTGTTATGCTTACATGGTTTATCTGGCATCCTTAAAATTTTTTATCAAGGGCTATCCATATTTTACTTACTGAGATATTGTATCTCACCTAGTTTTCCTTGTCCACCATTTCAGGTAGTGATACCCGACACATGGGGAGCCGGGGGAGTGACGAGCTAGACGGCTAGGCATTATTTTGGATTTAGATCTTTTGGAGTTAGGCCGCTAGTCTCACATGGTTGACCCAAATAACCATTTTTGTGTACAAAGTTTCCTTGGTTATAGCCATAACTGTTTATAAATTGTTGTACATCTTGACCAGTAAAATTTTTGGTAATGGAAAGTTAGATTTTACCTGAGTTTTAGATTTGAATTATCCAATTCAGAAATTAAGAACTTAGTAAGTTCTGAACTTTGTGCATTTGTGGGACCTTTTTATAAGTGCACGGCGTCTGCCACATTCCCGAATTTGGGTTCTAGGGCATGACAAATCCACACACATTCTAACATTTCCATGTTTCTTCAATACAAGAACAATGTTAGCAACCCATTAAGGGTACATGGCTACTTTAATGAACCCCATGTCTAGTAGCTTCTTTACTTCCTCTTTGATTTTTAACAAAGTTTCTGGCTTCGTTCTTCCCAACTTTTGCTTAATAGGTGGACACTTTGGCTTTAGCAAAATAGCATGAATTGTTATTTCTGGATCTAACCCAGGCATATCTTTATAAGACCAAGCAAACACATTTTGAAAGTCTTTTAACAAGTCAACAAAGCTTTTCTTTCACTTGGAAGCAACTGCTCATTGATCTTAATCTCTTATTTATTCTCATTTGTTCCTAGATTAATTGTTTCTATCTCAGATTGATTGGGTTGCAGTTTTGGTTCCTCTTCTTTCAACATGTCACTTAATTCGATAAAAGGTTTTAATTCTTCATCATTTTCCACAAAATAAATCAATTCATCAAAATTATGTTTAAGCTTAGGAATGACATCACTATTTTTAAATTTATTATTAGTAAACTTGGAGATGGAAATTTGGGCTAGAATAAGAAAATTGAATAGGGTAAAAGAAAATGAACAACTTTGCATGCAAAGAAAGGAAATGGAAGTGAACATAACATTGTTTATTGAAATGAACCAAATGGAAACATTATTTATCATGCCTACAATGCTTCATAAAATATAGAAGGCTTGCTTTAATCATCTCTTTTTATGATCACAAACTCAACTACACGAACATTGACATGTCTTACAATTTAGTGATAGGAATAGGAAGGATCTCCATTGTCCAACTATTCAAAGCTTCACTATGAGCAGGCAAAATAACCTTGTCAACATCCATCTATTCATCAATGACACATATACTTAACTCCTCAAAAGAAGTACTCAAACCATCATTATTTGTTGAAGCTAAAGACTTGAACAAATTAGAAGTTCCCATATCTTCATCATTTGATGCATCATCCACAATCACTTCATCATTATTATAAGCCTTTGGAACCCAATCAATTCTCAAATTCTCCTTCTTATTGGCTCTGTGTCATATCCACACATAACTTCAGTAGGTTTTGGAAATGTTGCTCAAATATGTGAGGAATATACAGTGGCTTTTCATTTGGTTCTCTTCCTTCCAACCTAGCCTAACGCCTTTCAACCTTCCTTATCCTCATCCACATCCACATCCACAATCAATCCTCTTGAGTGGATTTATATCCCAAGCCAAACCCTGTTGATGTATCAATTACTTTAATTGGTTCCTCAATTCCTTACAATTCAATCCCTAAGCCCTTCCTAACTTCAAAATGATTTTCCAGTATCACCTTAGCAATCTCCCTACTTACTCTAGAAAGATCTAGTGTTCTCAATGCTAAACCCTCTGCAATATATGTGGTTGAGAAAAACTTCATAGAATGGTAAGTTGCTTCTTGGCACTAAGAGTATACTTTTACATATGGCACAGATGTAGCCTTATGGATGATGTAATCTCTTTTAGCATTCATAGTAACCAAAGAGTTATCCATAATATATTTTAACTTTTGATGCAAATTAGATGATACTACACTAGCCATATGGATCCAAGGCCTTCTAATCAACATATTAAACATAGGCTTAATATTCATAACTTGAAAAGTTATGTCAAATGTATATGAACCAATGTTGACTAGTAATTCAATCTTCCCATCTACCTCTTCCCTTGTGCCATCAAAAGCATAAACTTTTGTCTTACAAGGCTTAATGTATGATTGATCAATGAGAACCTGATTCAAAGTTGAATGAGGAATAACTTTCAATGTAGAGCCATTATCAATAAGCACTTGTGGAACATGCGTCTCCTTAAAATGAACTGAAATGTGAAGAGCTTTCACATGTCTTCTTCAATCTTCAGGGATTTCATCATTAGTAAAGTTGCATAAGTTTGGTGCAAGGATAATCCCTATTACCTTGCCCAATTTCCCCATATCAATATCTTTTGGAACATAAGCCTCATTGAAAATCTTCAACAAAGCATTTCTATGAGTCTTTGATCCTAGTAAGAGTTGTAAAATAGAAACCTTGGCAGGAGTTTAATTAAGCTGCTCTGTCGCACTATATTCACTTCTCTTAGAATGCTAAGAAAATCGATAATGATTTCTTGGCTTGTTCCTCATGTATTTCCTTAATAATGATTCCCTTTTATGACTTCTTCTCTTTACATTATCTTTTTACACCTCCATAATTGCACCCATTTCGAGTCATATAAGAGATATCTTTAATAGGGAATTCTTATATAGAAACATAAGTACTAGTCCTATAATTCCAAGGAACAACTTGATAAGAATTGAAGGACAACTTGGAAGGTGAATAAAGAGTTAAAGGTGGTTGTTGAAAAGATGACGATTGCTTACTTCCTCCCAAAATTAATGGCTTCTTCACACTAGCTACAATACCCAGCCCTTTCAATAACAAAGGTTGACTAGGAGTTGATGACACTTGACTACCAAAGGTAATTGCAGTCACTTCATGACCTTTGACAGAGTCTTTTTCAATTGCAAGATTTGAATCTCTTACTATAATATTTACTATTGGACCACCATATGTTGGTAAGGGATTTTTAGAAATAATTGGACTAACAACTCATGTTTTGATGCAATCTGTAACTTCTTTCTTCTATCAAATCTAGGATATGGTGTTTTAAAGCAAGACAATTTTCCATGTCATGCCCAACACCTTCACTATAGTATTCACATCTTGCTTGTGGGTTGTACTATGTTGGAAATGGTGGTTTTACTAGCACCATAGATATAGGAGTAATAAGACTAGAAACCATCAATTGTCAAAAACTTTAGTCTATGACATTGGAAATTTGTTAAAATGCTGTCTCCCTTTTTCTTCTTGTGGATGACTTGTCTTAGAGGTATAAATTGGCCTTGGCTAACTTGAAAAAGCTGATGATTGATAAGTTGGAGCTTGGAATAGATTATTGAACTGTTCTCAAAGATGTGGTTGATTATTTCTCCTATATGCCTTATAAACTGAACTTATAGCGCGATTCTCATTTTCCTTCTTTCGATTTGGCTAACCTTCTTTTAACTAAAAGCCCCTGAATGACCATTTTGGTATTGTTTAAGGGGACTCTTCATTGCTTGATAAGCAATAATAATCCCAGACTTGATATTCCATCCTTCACTTATTCTCCCACAACAACCAACTGAGCAAAAGTGTAATTCACATAAGTCATTAACTTTTCACGATAAGGCCTTTTGGTTGACTTAATGAATAATTTACTCAATTCATGATTAGTCAATGGTGATTGAACCTAAGCAGTCAATCCATGCCATCTTTGAGCAAATTCCTTAACGCTCTTACTTGATTTCTTTTCTATCTTTTGAAGATCTTCTCTATTAAGAGCTAATGATGTGTTCAATCAAATCATGCCAACTCTTAACCTTACTCTTGTCTAAAGTTGAAAATCAAGTATCTTTAGCACCTGTCAAACTATCTTGAAAGTAATGTATCATTAGTTTCTCATCATCTATATAAGAAGCCATCTTCCTACATGTCATGCCCCAAAACCAGGAGCGCAACAGATGCCATAGACTTGTCAGAGAGTCCCACAAATACACAAGGCTTGGAACCTACTTAATTCATATCTAGCAATCCACGGAACAAATTTGCAAAAATCACAAAGTAAAATTTAGCTTACAAAAGAATGATTTATATCTCAAAATCTATGTCCAAAAATACCAGTGGCTAGCCTAACTCTAAGATAATCTAAGTCTGAAGTACAAACAGCCAGCCTTCTAACTCTTTACTCCCCTCAGTTTTCTTGCATCTTTGGTTTTAGTGCTTGAATAATGGACAAGGAAAAACTATGTGAGGTAACTCAGTAAGTAAAAATTTGGATAGCCCTTAATTAATGTTATACTATGCCAACAAGTGTAATCAAGTATCAAGAAAAAATGGGTACAAGTATGGGAATGAAATAGACATCTTTTCTATAGGTCATGGCTAGTGTTTATAAACCTCCCACTGGCGGGCACAGTAATAACCAGTGTACTATCCCATTGGTAGGAATAATAGGGCATATTGGTTTCTAGGAATACACGTCGACATGTGTTAGCATTTATAAACTTCCCACTATCGGGCATAGTAAAACATGGCCATATTGGAGACTAAACCAAGTAGGAGTTACAGGAAAATCCATAATTTACAAATCAATTTCAGGTTATCAAAACCATTCAGTAAATTCCAAGTAGGCATGCTTAATTGAATAAATGATAACAATTTCATTTTAAACCAATCATACTTGTTTTCATGTAAAACGGGTTTAGTCCCACCACTACTTTAAAAATAGTTCAAACTTATACTTTTAAAACTTTTACCTTAAATCCAAGGGCATTTACCATAGCTTTACTTAACTCGCCTTGTAGGTATATAACAAGCGAAGAATTCAAGAACTCAAGGCATTTGAGGTGATTTAGAACCTATACCACATCAATGAATAAACAAAATTACAACATACTCCATTTAACTAATTTGTTTCAAATTCCAAAATAAAGTTCCTAACCAAAGGAACAACTTTCTCCTACCCTTCTCGGCCACTTCTACCCATTAAAACCCTATTAATATATGCATATATATTCCTATGCATAATCATTTTTAAAACATGCCTTAAATAGCAACAAAAGACCCTACATTTGGCGGGTTTACTAGGTAGATTTGCTGGACAAAACAAAGTGAAAAAATGCGAGAAAACCAAGCTCAAAACTACCACAAATAGCAACACAAAAGCTGGGCAATATGGTGGGGATTTTTGCTATTTAGAACAGTTCTAAAATACTTGGAAAAAGCCTTGAATATAAGGATTTTCTAGGCAAAAGCAATAGAGAATTCTGGGTACAATCAATAGCGATTTCTGGGTAAAATAGTAGTGAAACAGTGTAGCATTCAAGTATAAATGTAGTAGCAAAAAAGCAGCCAAAACAAAGCAATAATAAGGGGTTTTACGGCAGGAAAACAACAGCCAGCTAAAGTCTACTAAAACCATGGTGTAATATATTAATAGGTACTATGGGAATAAAGCAAAAAATAGAGCAAATTTCTAGGTACTTTTGAGGGTAGTTCTGGTCATATTTTGAACTAGAAGTTCCAATAGCATTTGCACCTAAAATTTGACTGATTTGGATTAAGTGGTCAACAAATAAATTGTAACCCTGTGTCTTAGCGTTCTGTAGGATCAAGAATCACCTTAATTTGACATTTACAGAGAAAGTTATAGTCAAAATACTAACAGAAGGTCGGGTTGGTAGTTAAGTCTGTTAGCGGGAAACAAACTTGCTGCTGAGTTTTCACCTTAAAAACAACTGAACTGGGTTAAACATCCAACAGAAAAGTTGTAGGGCTATCTCTTAACTTTGTACGGAATCAAGAATGAACTTAATCCAATATCCACAAAAAGACTTATGGGCAAAACACTACTACAAGGTCATGTTGTCAGAATTTCTAGCAAAAGGAATCAGATTTGGTGGCATTAAGGTAAAACCAAGGAGGAAAACTATAGAAAAATCCAAAATTGAAAACTCTAAAGGATTTGAGTTAACCCAATTCAAATCGAGGATGAAAAGATAAGTAATATGGTTGATTTCTTACCCAAAAGTGTTGGCAAGTGGTGGCCTCCCTGTACACTGCTGAAGAACTTGAAAAGGACCTAAAAATTGGGGAATAACAATAGCAAGATCTGGATTTTGATCATGATTTTAGGAACCATAAACTAATAAATCTCTAAATTTTGTTAAGAAAAGGAAGAAAAAACTATGATTCACCTTGTTTCTAACGGGAACAAGTTGCTAGGCCCAGGATGGGTTGGGGGTGCAAAAATTCTGGTGAGGGCTAGGGAGAAACACACAAAAATGAGTAGGAGAAAAGAAAATCAACCTTCGCCCCTTTTAAATCACCAAATGTCACTTTTAATGCCCCTAGGTTTGTAATTTTTAACCATTAGGCCTAGCAATAATAATTCCTCCCATATAAATCCCTAACTTAAATTTAAATTCGCTTGTACTAATGTATTCATGTATACATATATACGTCTAAAATTTCAAAAATTTTGGACTATTACACTACAATACATTGTTAGGTGAGCATAAGGATCACCAGTGCCATTGTACTTATCAAATTTAGGCAACTTGAACTTATGTGGTAGTTAAATGTTTGGGAAAAAGCACAAAGATGAGCTGTCCACAGGTTTATTGGTTTACACATTGTGTTGATTTTAGTGTTTCTTCATTAACTATAACTTTGCTTTTATTGCCTTGTCTTCATGCTTTATGATTGGTTTAGCAACTTGTATCCCAACTTGATTATTTTCATTAGATTGAGCTATAGCAACGCTAGCATTTAGAAAAGTTGGGGCAAGTGGTTTTGTCCTAAAAGCTCCAATAGCAATCAGATTTGGAGGGCTAGATGACATTGTCTCCTTTCGAAGAGTTAAAGTAGATGTGGCAATAGGGACATTTGCCATGGAAGTATTTCCTTCAAACAAAGGATTAGTTGTCAAAGGTGCCTTTGCAACTAAGGTTGCTTGAAGAGATTGGAAGGAAACCATCAATTCCTTTAAAGTGTCTTCTATGTTTTCAACCCAATTTTTAAGAGCTCCCTTTTCTATATTAGCTTTATTGGCCATCTTCTTTGCAAGACCTCTAGTGAGAATAGGAAAACGAACCCTTGGATAATTCTTTTTAAGACTAATCCTTTAACACCTAAAAAATATATCAGCATTGTTAACATGAAACAAATCATGGTTTTATCTAATTGGCATTTTCAAAGTTAGATTCCCAAATTACCTTATTAGATAAAATCAATGAGTAAAACATGCCCTCAAATAGCCATACTAATTATTTAAATTTATTTTACACATGGATTCTTCATTGTTAAAACCAACTTCAGCCAATTGCATGTAAGGAAAAGGGAAATTAGAGCCAAGTAATTATTACATAGGCCAAAAGCATGAGGAGATTGCCTCCTTCATGGCCCTTTATTTTTATTTTATTTTTTTGAAAGGGAAATGACAAACAATGAGGGGGTTGCCTCCTTCATATCTTTTCTTCTTTGTTGTGATGGGATGACGAGGAACTTGCTTCTTTCTCAACAAATAAAATTTAGGAAAATGTGAAGTTTAATTTCAAACTTTATTCCTTTATTTAAAATTTCAAACATAACAACTGATAGATGCCAATCATAAATTCCCATTTCTCTTAATTTTTCCAATACTATAATGTTTGAAGCTCATGTTCACAATAACCTCTTATCATCCTTGGAAGCCTTTCCACAAATTTTGAATCCGCACCATGTTGATTGGTGGAATACTACTCTCAATCTCAACCACTTTAGAATATATTCCATTGATCAAGTAGAGACCCTTCCTCTTTCTCTCTGCAATTGATTGATTTTAGCTAATGCCAAAGTTAATCGTCCACTCAATCCTCTCATCTCCACTTCTAGTTCTCTTGTCCTCTCATTTTGACTAATGTGTCGTTTTGCATTAGTGCCAATTCTTCCTTTAACTATTTTTCATTACTTTAAGCTTCCTCAAGTTGTCACAACAATTATAATTTATTATCAAGCAAATTCTCCACCCTATTCTCAAAGCCTTTGAGTCGATCAATCTCATATTGCTGTTAGTTCACTTGAGTCTTTAAATTGGCATTTTGATCCTTGACTTAATTAAAGTCATCCTCCAATGTGTTTCTATCATGCATTAGATGATTATTTTGCCTTTCTTCCTTCTGGATGATCTTTTTAAAATTTTGAACAATCTAAGAAACCTATCAACTTCTTTCTCTGCCTCCTTTTTTTCAAAAATTATAGAACTCTTTTCTTTAATCAATTTTTGCTTTTCACATTCCAAAAGATAAATGTCCATATTTTTCTCACTAATTTCCTTTTCATGCTTGACCTTTTGAGCACATGACAAACCTTCTTTTGCCATTCTTTTCTTCAAGTCCACAATGATAGCTTCTTTAACAATAGGAATGTTGTAATGGGTAACTATGTCTTGAAGCCAAACTTTCCTCCATTCTTCAAACTCACAAGTAACTAAAATGTTATTCCTTGAGAAACAAGCTTCACATTATGACCATACTTCCTTGGCAAAGCTAATATGATTAATTACTTTAGAGTCAAGAGAATAATCGAACTCATATGAAGAATTACCATTTAACAGTGGTTTACTTTGTCTATCTTGGAACTGCCTCATTACCAATGCTGAACTATAACTAATGGCTCCTTGAACACCCAACAATGGAATCCAATTATGGCCATATGGAGGATAAAAGTAATTAGTGGACTTCAACCATGTCACACACCAAGCTCTGTCTTTGGATTTTGAAGTCTAGAATCGTTAATGCCACTAGTTAGCCATTTTCTTTTCTAATTAGTGCTTCTT